TTCAATTTTTATTAGGGGGAAATTTTATTGTAATTCAATATAAGCAGAATCTAGTGAGCAGCAGCAGCAGCAGCAGCGCCAAGTATTGGTAGCTCGTAAAAATTTATCATTCATTTATTTATTTATTTATTTTTTTCGCTTTCTGACTTAACACCTAACATAGCAAATTGCTTTGGCTAAATATGAAGAGAGAAAGTGTATAATGAATATTTTCTAAATGGAAAACAGTGAATTTCCATATAAAAACAGTAAACGTTTCAACTCTTGCTTCAGCATACATAAAAGAAGGCGTAGATATCAATTTTTACTCGTTTATTTATGTGTTCGCACTTAGAAGCATAAAATTGTGTGTTTGACTTTTCTGATGTTTATTTTTTTTCTTTTTCTTTTTTTAGGATTAACACAAAATTTTAATATTGTCAATAACAAAAATAAAAGTTGAAGGAATTTCCCCGCCTTATGCTCTAAGGCGGCTTTCACATGTAATAGAAATTGAAGACCGGATTAGATTTCTTGATGATTTTCAGTTACGATTACGTGCATTAGGGAAACGATTTTCTTTGTGATGTTTTTGAAATTTCTATTGAATTTTTTTTTATAATTTTTGGCTTAGACGGAAGACATATGTATTCCAAATGTTTTATTTTTATTTAAATAATAAGAGGTGCAAAAAATTTTACCAATGAGTTTTTTTATTTTCAAAAGTGTGCCCAATAGGTGATAGTCAGAGTATAATGAAGCTGCGGCTAGGTCAAGAAGGATCTGAACACCGGCCTCTCACTCTTGGTATTTAATCGAAGCAACTACCAAATGAACTTATGTGCTTACGTGGTGCACGCGAGAACAAACTTATATGCATATATACGTGGACGACGGCAACTAATCGCTAACTTCGACCCGATTTGGAACGCGGGTATTATTCCCGGAACGATTGGCCCATTTCGCAAGAAATCAAGAACAGTCGCGTAAAGCTTTATGCCGGGCAATGCCTCCAGCTCTTCTGTCAGGCTTTGTTGACAAAAGTGCGAATTGAGAAATTTTTGGAGACGATAAGATCAAGTCTATTATGGTCGCCGACAATGTTAAACTAATGCCTACGGGATTTATGGGGCTCATGATACCTAGCGGCGTTATTACTGCGGGTGCACATGAATAATGCACTACAAAACCCAAAGGATTTACCAAGCCAATAAAAAAATGACATTAACTCTGCTACTTAAAAAGCGGGATGTGACAGAAGTGAGAAAATTGGAAGATCCGAAGGTTTATTAAACAAGATTGAAGATATATCGCTTTTTTCCGCGCAACGCGCATTCTGTACTAATTGTGTTTTTTTATTTTTATTGAATTTCCTTTTGTTGTTATTTGATTATGCAATAAATTAATTGTAACATTCCGAGAAATGAATGTTTTTGTTTCGTCTTTGAGTCGCATTTGAACTTTGAAGTTTTTTAATTGGTTTATAAATTAAAATTATTAATAAAAACATCATCGTTTTAAGTATTGCTGCCATCATTCTCATAAGTGACTGATAGTCACATCGTGGTATGGTACGATTAGGATTAAAAACATTTCGATATTACATTTTTTTGAGAGAATCAAAAGGAAAGAAATTGGGCGTAATTCGCTCTTAACGTATATATTACGATCAGTTTGTTGGTTTTAAAGCAATTATTAATAAGGAGGTGTTTTCCCAATTTGAAATGATTGGAAATTTCCAAAAGTCCAGGTCGTAAGCTAACTTGGCCGATTTTTTAAAGGTTTTCATACACCGCTCTTCATATATTTAGCTCAACCGGTACTGGGAATTAAGATGAGAAAGACGGATGAATGGAATTATCGGTGCTTCTTTGCCCTCTCCGCTAAAGTGTATCACTAAAAGTTTCAAAGAGAACGACAAAAACCTTATATTGCCATCGCTTACTTCTTGAGATGTCAACTTTTTCATGGAAACAAAGTGTATTATTTTGTTCGAAAATAGTTATTCGAAAAATGAATTTAGAACGTTTTCTATACGCTCTGTTTATACTTGATTATTTTGATTAGTTTGAAAGCTTTATTCTCACAATATATTTTTTTTTTGTGAAAATATTTTATATATATTTGATAGGCTGAAAACTTAACGCGAAAAATTTTTGAAATAACGCGTCATTCTTTATTCGGGAAATATGTATAAGCAAAGAGTCCGCTTAAGTAACATTTACCCTTTTTGCTGTTCAGCCGCAGACACCAGACGAGCTCGGGGAGTTTTCAAAACTTCTATAGAAGAAAATTTCCTAAGTACGAAGATACCTACGGAAATTGATCCCTTGAAAAATACGCACAGTGAATATTGGGAGCATGATGGTGATGAATGCTCAAATATCGAAGTGATGACCAGGTAAATATAGCTTTTCAATACGTTCTAAACCATTGACATTTAATCTAAGCGATCTCCTCTAGAACGCAAACATCAATACGGGATTATTTGGAATTCAAAGCAGCCCGTTCAATGCAACGATTCGTGCGCGGTTGGTTACTACGTAATCGCTTAGCCAAACGAATTTGCGCTGCTATTATCATTCAGGCCGAATGGCGGCGGTTCTACTACCAGCGCTTGTATGTTCGCAAACTGGAGAACATTTTACAGCAACGCGTTGAGGAATATTATTTTTGCGCAGCCCAGAAGATTCAAGCAATATTTCGTGGGTGGTGGTCGCGTGAGCATATACATGATCACTTTCGTTTAAAACGTCTACAAATTAGGGCCGGAGAGGATTTGTTGCATTGTGTGGCTTTCAAGTTGCATCATTTAATTCGCACCTACGTCATACCTGGTGTTTATTCGTTAAAGAATACAAGGCAAGTAAGGAAGATTGCTTAAAGAGAGGAGAGAAATTGTAAACAATATTTTGTATTTTTTGTGCGCTTTTTTTAGGACTCTCTCCAAAGTTGAAGAACTGTTGGCCAGCATGACATTTAAACAATGCAGTGATCGTGCCTTCGAAGTGAATAGCCAGCTTGCTATGAACGCACAATATGCCAAACTTCGATTTAACGATTCCGCTGCGACCACTCAAATACCTTTCGCTGGACCCAGTATTTACAATCTATGCGAACCGAAGTGTGTCGCATTGTATTCCGAACGAGATGCGGATCGTAAAATGGCAAAAATTTTGCACATGTATGAAGAGGCCTGTCGTGAAGATCCTAAGATTTTTAAATCGCGTGTCAAAAGTAAGCAACTTAACAACATGTACTTTCACTACTATTCTTAAAATTTTCCAACTAAATTCTGTTCATTGATCGTGAGGACATGCATAGAAATAGCCCAAATTGCCATATTTTGCGTGAATGCAGTCACAATGAAAATAAATTTTACTCAACGCCTGGTTTTTTTGCGGATAGCAATATTTCATACATATTTTTTTATTAAAACATTCTATCCCATCATAGAAGTGCTAGAGCAGGTAACTTGGGTTAAAAGTCTACTAAAGCAAAGTTGCGTCAAGGCGTCCGTTCTTCGCAGACATCCACTTAAGCTGATTTTTCTCTTAACTCTTTTCAGGCTCGAAAGCTGCCGGTTGTCGGCGTATGTACTTGCCGCCACCTACTACTTTCTGCGGTGACTTGATACGTAGCATGAAAAAATGGAAAATAATCAAGGAGAAGCATCCCGCCGTGGACAAGAGTATTTTCGAGACGCCGCAAAATGTCGTGAATTTCCTTAAAGAAGTTCGGTCGGAATGGAATATTTTACACGGCAATTGCCATTGCAGCGATGCTTTCGTCAAAGAACTCAAAGAAGGCAACAAATTGGCCGGCAGTTATCCTACGGTTCTAAAATAGTGTTTATTGCTTCTTCCTTTTGGTTTTTTTTTTTATTTGTAGGTTAGAAAAATACTTTTTCTTTGTAGATTATTCACCAAGCTGAGAGGCAATAAAAAATAAAAGAGGAGAATATTAAATAAATGCGATTTCTATACATGTCAGCTGATTGGCATGTGGGGAAAAATTCTCTTCATGTTTTCAAAATGTTGGAATAGAATTTATGAAAAGTTTAATTGCAAAACTTTCAATGGCATAAAACAAACGCCGCGTAGTTTGTAGGAAATCATGCCACGATGTGAGTCTCAATCGTTTATGTTATTGTTTTTATATTCTACAGGGGGATTGAGGTATTGTATATATTTTTGTAAGGTACACCACTTGTGGCGCAAGGGAACATTAAGTTTGTGCGAACGTGTGTAACACAAAGGAAGGATATTTTAATGCAGGTCGCTTTGGGATGACTGTTCATCTAGGCTTGTTTGTTCGTACGTCTGTCCGTCCGTCGTTTCCTCTTTTCCTGCCTAGAGGTCGCAGTTTTTGATATATTAGGACGCAATTTGGTGGAAAGACGTTTCTCCGTGAATGCACGGATGCAATTGAAAACCGTTTGGATCGGACACCTTTTTCGACCATTCTCTATATAAGAGCGCCATAGGATGAACAATGTTCAAAATGCCTCGAATCAAACCACATTTTTGACCACTACCCATATAAAGCCTTACTCTAAAAAGTCGTTATATGAATAACTGCAATAATCGAAGTGGAGTAGGGTGTTTAATGGTGGTTTCCGTCCAACTATAGTGTTTTCACTTTTTTTGGAAATGATTTATGCAATCATCAACAGTTTTAAATGCAAAGTTGATTTAAAGGCATATCGTGATCCACTTAGCCTCAAAACTAACAAAACGTTATTTCAGGCACATACATATGGTTTCAACATGTTGTTCGTTAAAAACTCTGACTTTTCAGGCCTTTTTTCACATTTAAAATCCCGCTGCTCACATTAACAAAATCACCAACTGATGTTTTGAACTCGTTAACATCCTGAGATCCATCTGTGGTATTTCATAGGTTCCAACCCTTCATAGACAATCAATCTATATCACGGAGTAATAAGGCAAAAACTGTAGCATATTTTCTCACCCCTCCTGAATTATTCTGGTAAACAGAAATTATGCAGAAATCAATGGAAATGTCTTCGTCTTGAATGTCCTTCATTCATTAAGCTTGGAACAGGCGGCAAACGTTATGCTTCTATGCGAAAAGTTTCGTTTACTCGCCAATTTCGCCCCCAACAAATTTCAATTTAAATCCTAATCAATCTTTCCTGTAAGAAAGTCTACAGTTACTTGTGCAGAAAGGCAAGGCCGTTACTCGAATTACCTTAGTGCCAAATGGATGCATTTTTAACTCGTCGTCATTGGTAAATCTAACGTTTAAGGCAACTCTCTCTACTTCCAATATATTAACATCGAAACTTATTTGTAAAATCAACCTTGCAGCTCTGTATTTTCGGCTGTCTTGCATTGCTAGAAGATATTCGCTTAACAAATACTCAATCAGAAAAGAAATTCCTTGTCGCGTCAATTTCACATACTTTTGAGGCAGACATAAGATCATGGTCGTCACTTACACTCTTTATCTTCGCAAATAAATCTAATATAATTTGGTTTACCTATTGCAGCATCAAGCGAGACATCACTTGCCTTATTAACAGATTCATAACATAATTAACAAAATGAACAGGTCGTCATGCATACCCCCTTTTCTCACCGTCTCCTATTTGTTTGTCCGAACATTGTCACTTTTATTCGCCATTCTGCCCTCTGCAAATTGTCCACATGTGCTCATCGTGATCGCGGCCTTTTGTGACATTTTGAACACCGCAATATGTCTTTTTTAAGACTTGCAGTCAGAGCATATAAATATTTACAGCCAAACAGTGAATCTACTCCTTTACGTAGTCTTTTACTTTCGCAAAATTTCAGTCCTTTTACAAAACACCTGCAAGTCTACACACACGCGAGTACTCCATCGCATCTCGCGCCACGAAACTCTCTCGAAGCATTTTGAAAATAAATCAAATCCCAGAATTTCTTGCATCAAAAGTCGTGAAAGTAAAATGAGAAAATAATTGAGAAGCGATCACTTGCCGCAAAATAGTTATGGTTAAGTGGTGGACGTGATGACATATACATATTTATGCATGTGTATACATACAATCAAGCTAACCGCCAACTTTATTTAGGTTCAAACCAAGAACTTCGTGTTCACATTGAACCGTTGTTGATTTGCTGACTTGCAAAGAGGAAGAAGAAGAAACTTGAAGGTTTATTTGAAAATTGAAAAGAATTTACCTATGCGTAAGTTTTCAATGTTTTTCTAGTATTCTTCATTCGTCGATTTCGAAAATTTTGTTTCTAAATATTTTATATTATTTATAAATGTATTTTTTAATACGTTTTTTTATAGTAAAAAAAGTTTGTTTAATATAGTTTTAAAAACGCATTTATTAAAAATGGCCAAAAATAAAAAGACCAAGTCACTTATAACTTTTTCTTCCTCTTTGCACGAGGACACGAGTGCGATTGAACATTCCACGGAAGAATTTGACGAATGCCCAAAAGTTAAACGATCACCTTGGTATGGTATATGTCAACTTAACGCATAAATTCATGAAATGATCGACTATTGATGAACTATATTATCCGGTTTAGGAAGGAAATACAGGATTATCTGAACTTCAAAGCAGCCCGTACCATACAACGTTTTGCGCGCGGTTGGATGACACGTAATCACTTAAATAAACAGATACGCGCTTCCATTATCATTCAAACCGAATGGCGGCGTTTCTACTCTAAGCGCTTGTATTTTAGAAATTTAGAAAGTGTAGTGCAGCAACGTACTGAAGATCATTATTTTCGTGCCGCTCAAAAAATTCAGGCCTTATTTCGCGGATGGTGGTCCCGTGAGTATGTACACGATCATATGAATTTGATTCGTTTAGAAAATACAGCCGGAATGGAATTGTTGCATTGCGTAGCCTTCAAATTACACCATTTAATACGTACGCACGTCATACCTGGCATTTACTCGTTGAAGAATACAACGTAAGTGAACTGTTCATGCATTATGTGTTCTTCATCTTCCTTGTTTTTGTCTTTTTGTAGAACACTATCAAAAGTCGAAGAACTGCTAAGTAGCATATCATTTAAAGATTGCACTGATCGCGCTCGTGAAAGCTATCGCCACAATGCTCTTCGCGCTCGTCAATCCGTAGCTCGCCATAAGCAATCTGCATTCTCCACTCTGTTACCGTTTTATGGTCCCAATATGTACAATTTATGTTTGCCGGAGTGTACACACTTTTACAATGAACGAGATGCGGATCGTAAAATGGCCAAAATTTTACGTATGTACGACACTGCCAGTCGTTTAGATCCTAAAATGGCCAAGTTGCGTGGCAAAAGTAAGCGATTTAAAGAAATAAAAATCATTGATTCTCATGCTTTTATTAAATAATCTTTCCAAACTTTTGTCCGCTCCCAGTATGATTTAACGCATTTCAATGATTTTGTGTCCGAAATTACGTATACAGTTCTTAAACTGACTAACGCCGAGTAGGATTGTGGGCGCGGGCAGGTATAATTCACCTTTCAATGAAAATTAAGTAATCTTTGCTCTTAAAGATATATTTATAAAAAAAAAAAGACTCCTTCCATTATCAAAAGTTTACATCCACTACAGCCAAATAAAAGTGATTAGATTTATAGAAGTAAGGGGAGGTAAAAATTCTTTGAAAACATCCTTATTGTGCAACCAAAAGTCAGCGCTACCTCTTCCGTGTCGTGATAAATATTTTTTATACCGGTGTCACATACATGGTTCATTAAATCTGAGAATGTAACATATCATCTAAATTCCCTATAAATAGACCATTTCATCACGAAAACAATACATGGAGGTTTTAAAAAGAATGGGAAAGAGATTACCTCAGAGATTACTTCCAGAAATAATTTAACTCTCGCTCACGCTCTTTCTGACACTGTAACTATCTATTAAATTATTTTCAGAATGTAAAACCATTACCAACTACTGCTCAAAGCCCACTATAACTTTCTGTGATGACATTGTACGGAGTATGAGAAAGTGGAGATTACTTAAGAAAAAAAAACTGATTTTACATAAGGATGTCTTGGACGATCCAAAGAGCATAGAAAATTTCCTGAAAGAGGTAGACTCTAAATGGAACATTTTACGTGGCCGCAGCCAAGTCAAAGATGACTGTTGTCCTCGAACCTTAAATTAATTGTATTGTGAAGAATGTATTTGTAATTACATTGACGGTCACTGAAATGAAATTCTCTGCCATCCGACACTGAAATCGAAAGAAAATATTCAAACAACATTTGAGGGGAAATACTTTATTTTTCATATCATCCATGCAAGATCGAATAGGAGTTTTCTTTACTGAATGGATGTGTGTGTGTCGCATCTTCTTATGTGTACCGAGTTATGGAGTTATGGGGAACGAAGCTTATGCTTCCGTTGCTTGTGACACGACAAGATATAAGGCAAAGACAAGGACAAAGTACAGCAGCGCACACATAGCACACTTGGCATTTCTTGGCGATTCGCTGGACTTTTACAAAACAAAAAAAGTTAACGAGTGGAAATATACGGGCTTAACTTGGGTTCAGTTTGTTCGTATTATCTTTGCCCAAAAATTCTGTTGAATGCTCTACTTTGGGCGCACTGTAGTCTCAATCTTTGCCCACTTTTCCCTCGCTTTATTTGTGGCAGTGCAACAAATTTCTTTCTTGTATGGCCGACATGAGTCCCCATGAGGTGTTCATTGCACTTATTAACTGCCATCAAGATACCAATTTTCAAGTATTTATTAAAACTACGAAAGAAATATTTTAGCTTTTTTTTAAATCATTTCGCAGGTGCTCCCATAAGGAATTCGCGTTGTTTACCTAAATATTGCAAGTTCCTGAACTTTGAGTACACTTTTCAAATTCAATCAGAACGCGACCTTAACAGATTAATAAAGATAATACAGATTAAAAGATAAACGGATTAGTAAAGATAAGTCCGCTCACTAACTTCGAATTTTTCCCCTACCTCCTCTTTTCAAGCTTTGCAATTTGTATCAAATAATAATCTCGTCATTAATCTTAGCATTGCGCTAAACGACACTTCGGCATGTGTATGTATATAAA